AGTAGTGGCACAAACGCTGTGGAAGTGACCAGTCAACCACCGTTTGATTTGGAATCAGTGCCCACTTCAATAGGTGAAACTCATACCCCACACTGTTAATGAGGCAGAGAACCTGAGGCTAAACAGATCATAGGCCTGGGGGAAACTCATTGTAATTATTCTGATAGATTAGCATAGCACGACAATGGCTCCTAATGCCACATTGCTATGTTCACAGGTCGGTGTATTGCTGCCCCCTCATCAGAGACGCCTCTTCTTGCAGTAGATGGGAATGAACACAGAGACTCGCAACTGGACAACATGCAGAGGGTGAGGAGACTCTGAGGCACTCATCTCTGAGTGGGGGATGTCTGTACTACACTCCTCCTCTCAAGCCTCAGGGATCGATGTGGAAGAGGAGGTAGAAAGATTATAGGAGCCAGAGGTGACGAACGACTCCAAGGAAACAGTGTTTTCCAGACACAAGAGGACCAGGGCTCATGTGAACTCACAGAGACTGTGACAGCATGAACAAGACCTGCAGAAGTTCAAGCCAGGCAAGAATCCCAGCATGGAGAAGGAGAGTGTACATAGTTCCACTCCCAGCCAAGAAGCTATGGAGTGCTCAGGAATAGTTGGCCAACACAAAGTAGACTCCATATTTGTTTGTTTGTTTTTTATTTTGTGTGTGCATGTGCCTTTGTTCGTTTATTAAAGAGAGAGCAAGAATATGATGTAGAGTGGGTAGGAAGAGGGCATTCTTGGAAGAGTTGGGGGAAAGGAAAGAATATGACCAAAACATATTGTATGAAAACATTTAAACTACATTTATTTGGTACATATGCACATGTGTGTCTCAAGGTGTACTCATGGAGATCAGAAGACATGATGGAGTTGGTTCTCTTCTTCTACTACATGGGGTCTTGGGATTTAACTCAGACTGTCAGTTTTGGGGGCAAGCACCTTTGTCTACTGGAGCCATCTTGGTGGTTTCTGGACATATTTTTTTAAATAATATTTTTCATTAATTCTTTGACAACTTCCTATAGTATATCTCGATGATATACATTTCCAAAGTCTCCCCTCTCACTAGTCTCAAATTCTCTCCCTGTAGAGAAAATGTTTTCTGTAACCTACTAAGTCCAGTTAGAGCTGCCTGTTGAGATGTGGACTGATTCTGTTGGCTTGACTCAGGTAGGTGACCACAGCTACTCTGATTTCATGAGTGTAGCAACTGTGTCGTATCCAGACATCAGACCCTGGAAAGTACTCCTTCCCATCCTCTGACTCTTACATTCTTTCTGCCCCTTCTTCCTTGATGTTCTCTGCGCCTTGGGGTCGGGGGAATACTGTCTTGATGTCCCATTTCGGGCTGACACTTAAGAGTCACTGACTGAATAGTGTTTTTGAAATGCTAGGACATCATCCACAGGACAAATGGAATTAAAGTACAAGAACAGCTCTTCTGTAACTCTTAGTTAAAATTTACAACACAGGCCAGATAACATCTGCTCCTCTGTTCACCCTCCTGCACCACAGGATCAGCTCAGAGAGGTGCATCTCATCCCAGTCATAAGATGCAGCTGAGACCAAACCACCAGATGACTAATCAGTGGTGCCTTCAGAGAATGTCCTTCAGAGGCAAGGGAAGGTGTTTTCAGAATCAAAATGCAACTCCTCAGGCATGGTAGCCTCTGCCTGTAATCCCAGCTCTTGGAAGGCTGACATGAAGCAGGAGGATTATACATTTTAGACTAACCTGGCCTTCACAGCAAGACTCTGCCTCAAAGCCAACAGCAGAATGGAGTTGCTTGTGCCAGCCCTTCCCAAAATAATTCAAGCCAAGAGGTTATGGAGAGATGGTTCTTGTGTGTGGTGGCCTGTCACATAGCCCCTGGAACATCCATTCATTACCCACCTCTGTGTCAGAACTAACATTCTGTGACTAATAGATTTAAAAAAAAAAACCTTTGGAAATTAACTTAGTAGAATGGCATCTTCCACCAACCCAAATGCTAAGAGTGTCATCAGATAACATCTGATGATTCATAGGAAATCTTCCCCCATCTTCTGAAATCACCTCTGGTGTATCCATGGATGCATTTCAAGCTGGCCTTGATTAATTACTTTCTTAGTTCTGTAAAACTATAAAATGTCTTAAAACTGCTTCCATGTTGGAACATTACATTTGGAGAGACCTAAATGCATACTCCTGTGCTATGATCACGCACATAAGCTTCAGAATAAACTATGTTTTTTCTTCCTTTGAGGTAAGAGCTGTTTCTTTGGATGACGAGGACCATCCTTGATTCCTTCTTTTATTCTGTCTGTATTTGTTTCACACACAGGAATCTTTTATCTCAAGACTGAAGCGAAAAAAGAAAAAAAAAACAGAGGGAAATGTTATAGAATATGATTTCAAGGTATGTTACTTCTGTTTATGCTCTGGAACATTTGCTTAATGATGCAAAGATGTGTTTGATTAAATAAAATTCACCTGTGGTCAAGAGACTGCATCAGCAACTAGCTGACAGGAAGTGGTAGGGAGGAGTCAGGTGAGAAAGGGTTTATATAAGGAGGGGTGAGGAGGTGAGCTACTTGCTATTCAGCCTCTGATGAGCAGAATTCCACCTTAACCTTTGAATCTTGAGTTCTTTAGAGGGAGAGAGTTCAGTTAAGTTCCCTTCATAGCTTTTCTTTTTTTTTTTTTTAAACATTTATTTATTATGTATACAATGTTCTGTCTGCATGTATGCCTGCAGGCCAGAAGAGGGCGCCAGATTTCATTACTGATGGTTGTGAGCCACCATGTGGTTGCTGGGAATTGAACTCAGGACCTCTGGAAGAACAGTCAGTGCTCTTAACCTCTGAGCCATCTCTCCAGCCCCCCTTTGTAGCTTTTCAAGAGTTGGAGCCGGAGGGAGCAGACGCCCCCCTCCATGGCCCTTGCTGCTGGGTAGTGGTGGAGTTGAGTTGCAGTTGCTGATTCAAACAGCTGTGGCTTAACAGGCAGCACCCATTGAAAAAAGGACAACAGGAAACGCAATTGTCCAGTAGGAACGAAGATATTCTAGTAAGACACTTGAGCCCCTCTTTTTGGCTCTTAACTATAGAAATAACAGGCCCCAAGAAATTGGAATTTCCCCAGGAATATCATGCTGAGGCCATGTGGGGAGCCTGTGTAAGAAAGCTGTGACCTTACTGTGAACTGTGGATGGGGCAGAGTGTGGAATGTTCTTCTCACAAGGTGGCCTTCTAGAATTGCATAAACGATGGTAAGTGGATGTACTGGACAGCAGGGACATGAAGGGAATGCCCTGGGACGTGCACATTATCTCTGTTAGTGGGAAAGGCGAAGGCCTGGGAGGGATATTCTTGGCTCTTTTCACATGACCAAAGACGATAAGACGGAATGCCAATTCCCATGTTGTATTTGTATTTGCTTAATCTCACTGTAAACAGTGCCTCATGTTGCTTTAATAATAAAGGAGTGAAAAGTACTTTGTTTGTGTTACTCTTGAGTTCAAATGCTTGGAGCACCCAGTTATCCAAGGAAGATCTGTGGCATATCCTTCAATCCACTGAGACTTCATCTTGCTGGTCGCTGCCCAGGCAGGTATAAAAGGCGGGTAAAAGTCAGAAGCCTCGCGCCAGACATCAGAGATGCTTGTCTCCGGCAAAGAGTTTTCACACAGTTCTGACAAAAGTCACCCTACAGGAGAGCCTGGAGTCTAGAAAACGATGGTGGACCAGAGCACACCTTGAGCAGGACTGCTTAGTTATACACACCTCCTGCCTTTCACTTAAACCCAAGCCTCATGTTGGGACCCCAAAATTGGACTTGGGTTGGCAGAGGCATGGGTGGGAGTGATTGGGCCACTTTCTGTCTTTTCCCAAGATAGTCACATTGAATAAACCTCTCTCTCTGCTTTAGTTAGTTGTGTGGTGAATTGGGCTATGGGGGGTGAGTGCCTGAACCTGACTTATTAAAGGCAAGGGTTGGGGGAGTTGAGGGAGGGTAGAGGGGGGCAGTGTCCAGGTTCTTGACCTAATAACTAGTAATTTCAGATGTTCCCGTTTTTATTAGTGCTGCTGTGAGGACCCACAGAGGTTACTTAGTGAGATCTGAGCATGCTTTACCCTGTAGGGCTGCATTAAGGGATGGCTTGACCATACGTGGTTACCGGGTATTTGGAAGGGTTGCACTTGGCTGTGCTAGGGGAGGTCTTTTGCCTTACCCCTTGGCGTTCCTATAAAAAGCCCCTTTGAGCCGGGCGGTGGTGGCGCACGCCTTTAATCCCAGCACTCGGGAGGCAGAGCCAGGCGGATCTCTGTGAGTTCGAGGCCAGCCTGGACTACCAAGTGAGTTCCAGGAAAGGCGCAAAGCTACACAGAGAAACCCTGTCTCGAAAAACCAAAAAAAAAAAAAAAAGCCCCTTTGAAGAGACAGAAGGAGCCAGTGGATATTGATCCAGGTCCTCTGAGGATCCTGTGTTTCTGTTTTCTCTCCCCATGATCTTTCTACCTAGTATTTCTTATCCCTCTTTCCTCAAGAGTACCCTGGGGGAAAAGTGGGAGCTGGCCTCCCACACGCTGCACGCTGCAACTCCAGCTTAGGTAGACACTACTAGTTTTATTTTGTTTTCGTACTCCCCCGCCCCGCCTTTTTTTTGGAGGGGGATAGTGGTGTATTACTTTCTGAGGAGCATCAGTGTTTATCATTCTTAGCCCTGCACCAAGAGCATCCAGACTCGTGAATGGGCAGTGGTGGTGGTGGTGGTGGTGGTGGGGGGAACAGGAAGGCAATTCTTATTACAGTCCTAGAGGGGGCTCAGCAGATTTCCCCTCCTGCTAACTGCCTAGCTTGTGGGATCAAGCTCAGCCCGGAAAAAGCGCCGAGGTAAAGAATTCTCCACGCCCGGCCACCGCCAAGTCCAGAACCCCTTTGCGGGCTGTGGCTCCGGGTCGGCGGCGAGCGGCTCGCACGTCTCCTTTAAGAGCCGCCGAGTCCCCGTGACGTCAGGGCAGGAAGTGTTTGAGGAAGTGGCGCTGGGCTGGCTGCGTGGGGACCCTAAGTTTTCATGTCCTCTGTGGGTGTCGCTGGCGGCCCCGCGGCCCCTGGGGCAGGTGAGTCCCACGCGAGGGGCCGCTCGCGGCGCGGCGCCTCTTCCCCGGGGTCTGTGGCTGCGATCGGTGAGGACCGGACCCGCCACCCGGGCCCCGGGGACCACAGCAACTTTTATTTCTGAGCTAAACCTGAGTCTGCTTCCTTCCCTCACCTTGAAGGACGGCAGCCGCTGCTGTCCCCCCCCACACACCTGTCCCCTCCACCTGCTGCTTTTTGTCCCTCTGAACTTGTCCTCTCTTCCTGCTTGCTTCTAGAGTTAGCAGGGAGGGCATCGATATGAGCTGGTCACCGTCCCTCCCCACCCAGACCTGTGGGGCCTGGGAAATGAAGGAACGCCTCGGGACCGGGGGATTTGGAAACGTCATCCGATGGCATAATCAGGTGAGGGCTCTGGCCCCCGGGGGGACAGTAGGTGGGCTTGCTTGGTGCTGCTTCTGTCGTGGCCCGCGTGGATGAGTGGACTCCCTCCTGTTCTTGGCATGGTCTAATGGCAGAGTAAGAAAAAAGGGACCGCCAAGGGGGGGTCTGAGAGCTGCTAAACTGACACTTAAAAACCTTATTAGCCAAGCTACTTCAATAAAAAGAGTAAGCTGCCATTCTAAGTATTTCAAATTTTATGTCTGCTAATACTCGACTAACATGTAATACATTGCATGCTGGTGGATGTTGTAGAATACAGATAGTGTTAAAAGATGAGAGCTATACAAATATTTTAAATAACTTTTACATTAAAAAAAATTTTTTTAAATAGTGGATGGTTCCGTGGTGTTTTGTAGTACTGTACTGAACAAAACACAGAGTTAAGGATAGTGGATGACAATGGGCAGTGCATAGGATGCCGAGTGATGTGGATTGATTTCTTTTTGAATTTTATTATATTCTCATTATGTTAGCCCTTATGTGTCTGGCGTGAGTTACTTGTGTTAGAAGTTTTTGTTCTCCCAAATTTTTTGGTTTGTCCTGGCAGTTTAAGTACACTGAAATTCTTTGCAAGACTCCCTTTAGGACCCATTTACCGTATAAGAGTTATTTTGTGCAATTTGAATAATTAGTTGATAGTCATTCCTAAAGCATACATGTCACCTGTGGTATTTCTGTAGCTCCAGCCATCCTTCTGCTGCAGACCACTTACTTACTTCAGACCAGACGTGATGTGTAACTGTCGAACTTGGGGGTCACAGCCTGTGCCCTAAGCCACCTGTCCCCAATAAGCCAATTAAAAGAGTCAAATTCATAGTGGAAAGCAGGAGATACCGTCAATACAGTCACATTGGGAAAGAGAGACCCCGAAAACCTCCCAAGTCCATCTTCAGGATCCTAAGTGGGATTTAGGCTTAAATAGAAGGCCAAGGATATTCGCATCAAAGCAGTCCAGTGATCCAGTCTACCACTGACTCATTTTTGTCATCCTCTTAAGAGTTTCTGAGAATTTGTTACAAATCTCTTCTCCAGAAGACAAATTCCCCTCCTGGGTGGCGCCTGTTCCTTTCCCAACATGAAATTTCTGGGGAAATTCCCATCTTTTGGGGGTTCAATGTTTGAAAGTGTCTCTCTCTCTCTCTCTTTTTTTTTTTTTTTGGTTTTTCGAGACAGGGTTTCTCTGTGTAGCTTTGTGCTTTTCCTGGAACTCACTCTGTAGCCCAGGCTGGCCTCGAACTCACAGAGATCCGCCTGGCTCTGCCTCCCGAGTGCTGGGATTAAAGGCGTGCGCCACCACCGCCCATATCTTCATTTCTGCCTGGCCAGTTCTGGGACCTGCTGATAGACACAGGAGGGTGCTCTCCAGTGGTGCGTTTTTATTTTGGTTTTTTTTGAATTCCAGTCTTGGGTAACACTTGAGATACATAACCAAAATTAGAAGCCACCCTTAGAATCCTTCCTAAACAGCTCCAATTAAGGTTTTGACTCAGAATTGAGTGGTCCATGTGAGAGACTAGCCTGGCTGATGGTGGTGATGATGGCGAGAAGTGGGCAGATTTAAGATTCATTTCGGGGTAAAATGAACAGGACTTGGCTGGGATAGAGGACATAGGGGGTCGGAGTTGGGGAGGAGGAGTCCGGCTAAAGTCCTGCTGTCAAAAGAACCTGCCAGTAGCCCTCTGACGTCTTCATGGGATGATCCTCAGGGAAAGCCAGGGGGCTGCTTTGGATGTGTAGAAGCAATCTTTAATCCATAGCTGAGATCAGAAGATGCAGCGTGTTTTCCGTTGAATGTGCCGCTGCATTGAAGAATGCAGCTAAGATGTGGTAGTTGTACTTGGCATCAGACTTCTTCCTGCTACGTCACCTGCTCTCTCTTGTCTATAAGCAAGAGAATATATGTAGCTGTCCCAGGAGTGCCCAAGTCAGAAGTGCTGCCTAAGAACCAGGGTCATTGTTGTAAGCCTACTACTGCATGCCAGCCTCAGGCGTCTTCTGAGCAGGTTTCGTTTTGCATTACGCCGCTGCGCAGTGTACCAGTCTTATCTTACATGCTTCACTTCCAGGGTTGACAGCTCTAATTCCCATTGTGTAGCTGAGAAAACAGAAGCGCGGGGGACTTAGGTAATACACAGAAACGTGTTAACGTTACATCTGTTTAGATCCAGACTGTATACCCCACCCTGGCTTCTCCAGGTTGGAACTAGAGTTTAGGACACGCCCAGCACATTCCCAGTTATTTTGGAGGCACTATTTGGTTCTTTACAGTCAATCCAAGCCATTTTTGAAGCACTAAGGAAAAACGAAGAGGTGCTCAAATCTGTATTCCCCAGGAAAAAGAGCAGTGTAGTGATGACCCTTCTCCAGTTCCCTTGGTTCCTGATTCCCACCCCCACGGCGTGGGCTTGACAGTCTTTGCTGCATAGGAACACCCCTAAGTCTCTAGCTCAGGGCCCAGCACAAACTATTTGTGGTTCAGGTAAGGCCAATGTTTTCAGAAGACCTTGAGATATAAAGAGAGAGGAAAAAGATCCAACTCCAGGGACCTCAGCCTGCAACTCCTTTTGAGGGGAGGCAGGGGAAGGAGCCACACAGTCTCACAATCACACAGAACATGGTTGAGATTCTGATTGTCACTTGCCACATTGTTGGATTTGGGTCACAACCTCTGGTGTGCACTATGGATTCTCAGCATGACTGGAAAGACATGAGGCAAATCCCTGTGGAAATGTCTCAGGATCTTTTGGAAATATTACATCGTCTGTGCGATCTAAGCGGGAGAAGGCTAGCCTGTCTGGGGGACCCGTGTGAGGATGACAGGAAGTAGTGAACATGCTGTCTGTTAGAAGGGAAGGTGCTATCAGTTATTCCTCCTACAAAGCACTGCTAACCTTTACTGATAAGGCTAAGATCACTTCTGTTTGCCTCCGTGTTTTAATGTGTGATCTTGGAACTCAGGTCCTTGAGGACCTGCTGGGCATGGCCCTGAGCTCCATGCAGGCAAATAAAGAGAAGATACTGTCCTGAATTTGTCTTTACTCACATTGAATGAATTCTTAGAAATATGACTGAGTCTAGATTTAAGTGCTCATGGGTGAAAGTGATAATGACTGCTGCTTATCAAGAATGTCATGTGTCAGCCAGGCATGGTGGCACATACTTTTAACCCCAGCACTTGCAACATAAGAGGCAGAGGCAGGTGGATCTGTGTGAGGCCAGCCTGGCATGCATAGTGAGTTCCAGGACAGCCAGGGCTACACAGTGAGACGCTGTCTCAAAACAAAACGTCATGCTAGCTGGGCCAGGTGCTCTGTCTGGAGTCTCTTGCTTGCTCAGTAGCAAGGGAAGACTTTGAGGAAATGGAACTTCGTCAGGTTCTTGAGAGGAAGTGGACTTTAGGTGGCCTGTCAAGAAACGAGGCAATTATGTGGGTAGAGCATCATCTAAGGAAATGATTGATAGTTTCAGACTTTGCCCAGGGCTTCCTATGGATCGGACCCTGCATTTCATTTTAGTTGGCATCACTGGATGGGTGGAGTTTTTTCTCCATCTGTGGATGAAGAGCCAAAGGTCTAAGGGATTCAGTGTTGCGTGCTTACTTTGCTCAAGAAGGAGGCAACACGTTCGTCCCTTGAGTCTGTTCCCGACATCTGTGGGCAATATTGGAGGCCACTGTGCCATTTAGCGTCTGCATTGAGGGAAGACTGAAGAAGTTGTAGCCCTTTCTCATAGGGAAAGGCTGTCTGCATCACTTGGTATGTCAGGGATAAAGATGCATCTAACCTTTTTTTTTGAAAATTATTTTATTTTTGAGATTATAATATAATTACATCATTTCCCTTTTCCTCCCTCCAAGCTCTCTCATATACCCCTTCTTGCTCTCTTTGAAATTCATGGCCTCCTTTCTCATTAATTATTGTTATATACCTATCTGTATATCGATATACATATATGTTCATAAATACAACCTGCTCGGTCTGTATAATGATATATATGTATACACACGCACACACACACACACACACACACACACACACACACACACACATATGTATGTATGTTTTCAGGGCTGACAATTAGGTATTGGATAACCAATTGGCGTGGTCTTCCCTGGGGAAGACTATCTGAGCATTCCTTAGCTGCCTGTAGTTGTTTGTGTAGGTTTGAGGCCTCCTAGGCTTTCCCCTGTCCACGTTAGCACGTCTTTTCTTTTTGTTCTCGGTCAGCTCACGTGCGGGCAGTCTTGTTGGTAGGACTTTATTGGTGTAACTTCTGACATCCCTAGGAGACATAATATCCCAGCAAACCCCGCCCCCCATCCTCTGGCTCTCGCCATCTTTCCTCCTCCTCCTCTTCTGCAATGATCCCTGAGCTTGAGGTGCAAGGCTTGTGTTGTCGGTGTGTCTCAGACCTTCACTTTTAAGTGCTTATTTGAGAATTTTGCATAGTGTATTTTTTTTTTTTTTTTTTTTTTTTTTTTTTTTGGTTTTTCGAGACAGGGTTTCTCTGTGTAGCTTTGCACCTTTTCCTGGAACTCACTTGGTAGCCCAGGCTGGCCTCGAACTCACAGAGACCCGCCTGGCTCTGCCTCCCGAGTGCTGGGATTAAAGTGTATTTTGATCGTATTCAGCTCCTGTCTCTCCATCCCTCCCAGCTCCCTCCCCACCCAGCTTTCCTTTTTTTTTTTTTTTAACCATCCAGTCTAATTTGTGCCTCCTCCCATTGAGGTGTGGTTGACCTATCACAGAACATTCCCTTAAAGAGAACTTATTCTCCCTCTCTAAGCATCTATGAACTGCCTAGTTAGGGGTGGGACTTACTGCCTCCCTCCTTCTCCAAGCTCGGATTTTCCCTGGCTTGAGCCTGTGCGTGCTGCCATAACTGCTCTGAGTTCATCTATTTGGTTCAGAAAACACTGTTTTGCTGTGGTCACCCACAACCTCTGGCTCTTACAATTTTTC